AGGAAGGAAGGAAGGAAGGAAGGAAGGAAGGAAGGAAGGAAGGAAGGAAGGAAGGAAGGAAGGAAGGAAGAGAAAAAGAAAGGAAGAAAGGAAGAAAGAGAAAAAGAAAGAAAAGGTAAGCATTACTGCGAATCTCTGTAGAGGAAACATTACTTTTTATATCCTGGGAAGTAGACTTGATTATTTTCATTACTTATGTATATATAAAAAAGAGCAAAACTCACGACTACATCTTCACATACTAAAAATCTACAACTTCTCATGCCCAGATATGCCAGCCTACCTTACCTAGTTGCAGTATCTTTATAGTGTCTCTGTAGGCTTTCATCACCAGCTTGAAATGACGATAAAGTGGATAGCACAAAACTCTCCTTCCAAAAGACACCAGGATCTCATGAACATCTGTCCAAGTCTGTGAAGAGTCATCTCATTAAGTAATTTCCATACAATTCATTACACAACAAAAGCACACACTGAAAAAGGAACAATCCAAATTAAACCCTGTAAACCTGGATCACTGGCACAAGCGAGATTCTTCTTGTACACCTCACTTTATTACAGACTTATAATTCCTCATGCTGCATCAACAAACCACAAACGTGGATTAAAACCCACATATGTAACAGGAACATGTTAGAGTCTTAGTGGGGACAGGCATTCAGACTACAGACTTGTATTTGACGGCAGAGTGGGGGTGGGGACAGGCTTCCTGACCTTGTATGTAGCTCGCAGCTGAGGAGGCTGGCAATGCTGCTGGCCCACTCTTACTCTTGCTCCTGTGGTACCTGTCTCAGTGATGGACTGAATCTTACCTCCTCACAGAAGGAAGTAATATATGAAGCAATCGCCACTTTACAATTTAAAGTATGCTATGCATAATCTGAACTGATGGTACGACTTTGATGTTGGATAATTTGTTCCAAACTCAGAAACATAAAAGATACTGTTCTTTAATAAATGTTAGGAGAACTGCAGAAAAAGTTTTAGAAAATAAACAAAACCAATTATCGTTATACTAAAAGAGTCAGCACACCAGTGGGAAGGCTCCAGGGTAGAGGGGCTTGCCACCTTGTAAACCTATGTTCAATCCCTGGAACCCACATAAAAGTGGAAGGTAAGAACTGATTCCACAAAATTGTTCTCTGACCTTCACATAGATGCTATGATAAGTGCCCTGCAAAATCATAATGATGACAAATAAAATTAATGTTTTTTTTAAAGAGGTTACCAGTTCTAACCATAACATGATAGGATGCAAAACAATTCATTTTAAGCTGTATGATCTAAATTTCCTTACCTGTAAATTCAGCAATATTTACCTTACTGAGTGTTGCTCAATAAGGTTATTGAGGAACAAGATAAATAAAAGATATAAGACACTCCGTGTGATTCTGGTGGTCCATTATCATCTAGGTTTGTTTTCCATTTTTGAACTCTGAGCCCCAACTCATTAACAAACCTGCAGCTCTACCCACATTTTCTCAAATGAACCACAGTGTCCTCAGTGTTCTTCCATATAGTATTTCCCTCCACAATGTCTAAAATGCTTACCTGGCTGACTATCCCAACAAGTTTATTCTTTAAAAAGTATAATAAAGCTCCCAATTTAAAAATATTAAGAAAAAAATTTAAACAACCAAAAAATTGCTTGAACCAACCAAAATGAAGAACAACAGAAAAAATAACCAAAAGCTAAATAATTTCAAGTAGAAATCATACCTCAAACCAGCAGAGGGTGGGGCTCAGCTTTCTGACCGTCCATGCAGACTCCACCTTGGTTGTGGAGAAAGGAGTGTCACCGTTAAAAGTCATTTGGAAATGAAGCAGATATATCCACTGGAATTAGTACATGAATTATACTAACCCATGCAAAACGATGCATTGATGAATGTAGAAAAATACTTGTATTGATGCAGAGACTAATAGAGGATGTCTCTGTTCACCGTGCATGGAGTTTTAAGGAATTAAACACTTCACTAATGAAGTACCAGCATACACGAACAAATAAGCAGGGGCACTCAAACAAAACTGAAGCAAAGTGCTTGCTGCTTCCTCTTCTACTAAGTCACTCTATTGAACCGCAACCGTGTACCAGAAATCCCCGTGGACACTGCCCTTCAGAGAATGCATGTGAGATTACCAGTGGTCCAGAGGCAAAGATGCAAGACTTCATGATTTTAAACATACAAGTAGGAGAAACATTGGTCAATTTTATCAAGTGTAACACTTTCACTCATCAAGATTTAATATGTGGGGCTGGAGATATGGCTCAGTGGTCCAGAGTACTAGTTGCTCTTCATTTCCTAGCTCCCACATGGTGGCTTACAATCATCCACAACTCCAGTTCCAGGGTATCTGATGCCCTCTTCTGACCTCCCCAGGCACAAACATGGTTCACATACATATGTGCAGGCAAAACCTCATATATATAATATTTAACATCTTTCAAAAACTTTAAAAGACTCAATAATATGAAATGAAGAGCCTTTTTTGTCTAAGTAAACATTTTATCCACTTAGGATATCTTTTAAAAAAAAATGACTTGAGGGGCTAGAGAGATGGCTCAATGGTTAAGAGAATTGACTGCCCTTCCAGAGGACCCAGGTTCAATTCCCAGCACCCACATGGCAGCTCAAAACCGTCTATAATTCCAGTTCCGGGTGGCCCAACACCCATGGCAAAACACCAATGCACATAAAATAAAAATGAATAAATAAATAAAAAAAACAATTTGAAAACAAAGTATTTTCAGATAATTATATTCTTGATAACCCCAAGGTTATTCACTTAGATCACATGCAGACTGCAATAGTCACTTTAGAAAATTTCAGAATCTTGACAACAACAACAAAATGGCACCTCAAACTACTACTGATGCTATGATGCTGTGTGAGGTAAGTCAATTAAATCACAGTGTATACCCTGCAACCCAAAGTAAATGCACACACACACACACACACACACACACACACACACACACACACAGGCACACACAGGCACACACGTATGCACAGTGAAAGAAAACCAGATAAATAATCTTGTAACTGTGGTTATTACTAACTACTAGAATTATAGGACATCCCAATGATATAAATTAACTGTATAATCAAAAAGAAAAAGGAAAGTATATAACAAGGCTAAAACTCTGATCACAGGTAATTATAAATAGTGGGGCCACATTATCTAGAAAGCCTTTGGTTTTCCAGCATTTGCTTCTTTATTGATTCAAAGATTGAATGGATTGATTGAGGCATTGGTAATTGAACACACAGTTTTTAAAATACATGACATGACACATGGCTTCTTTACTAAAGATGAAAGCAGGGTCTCCATTTACAGCTCAGGCTGGCTTTCATCTCTCCATCCTCTTGCCTCAACCTGAGGTGAGTCTTTTAAACAACAAAAAGAAATACGATTCAAGTTCTGAAAACAACGGAACTTACATACACACCTTTATAAGTACACATTCTGTGTGCTAAGATCCTCTTCTGCAAAAGGGCTTAACTCTGCATGTGATAAATGAAAGCTTGGAGAAAAACGTGAGTGCCGTAGGTGAGTGTCAAGTGAAACAGCCTTCCTCTCTACCCTTGGCTTCTTTCCTGACACCTCCCTGCTCTGCTATCTATCTAGTAGATCTACTGCCAAGAGAGAAGAGACAAGACCACAATTAGCATTAGCCTTCATGTTAGTGCCCACTACCATCTCCTGTGACCACCATAGGCACGTGTGCTGGGACAGCCCCTAAGTAATCTATCACGACAGGCTGGGTCTGCTCTGAACAGGTAGCTAACACGGTGGTCTACACCGACACACACCGACTTACATTGTGCTCTCCTTCAGTGACACGTATTTCATAGCAATAGGCCAGAAGGATGTCAACTAAACTGTAGTACACTTGACGATGAGCTGTCTTGTCCAGCAGGTAAGACTTATTCACAAATTTTCGTAGCTGATATTTCTCCTCTTCTGAAAAAGACACTAGGAGAAAACACAGTTTTGAAAATTAAATGTGTCATTCAGGCTCATCAAACCACCAGTGCAGAAGATTTGCCAAAATTGGAATTCTGAATATAGAAAGCAAAATCAAAGTTATTTATCCTTAATTCTACATATAAGGCAATTTCTTAAAGGAGGCTTTTCAAGCTTTATTAAGAGCCATGCCTTTGTTCAAACCTTCTAGACCTTTCCCTCTTACATTACAATAGCAGTTTCCAACTTCACAAATCTTTTTCCTAAGGTTTATTCTTATTATCTTAAATTATGAGTATTGTGTGTGTGTGTGTGAATGTCGGTATGTACATGTATGTGAGTGCAAGAGAGGTACCTAATTAAAGACAATTAGGAACCACCTGACACAGATACTGACCAATCTGGGGGGCCTTTTTGTCAAGTGAGGTTCCCTCTCTCAAAACGACTCCAGCTTGGGTCAAGCGGACACAAAATTAGCTGGCACACGCCCCTACACATACTGGCCACCCTGCCTGGCAATAATTTCAGCAGCCCTTTCCCCATTTCTTTCCAGTTTAATGGAGTTAAGTGACTGCAGTAAGGAGAATTCTGAGATGACCCCTAAAGAGTAGCATCGCTCCCTCTGTGGAACAGATCTTGTCACTGATTCTGTCCACCAGAATGTGACAAAGATGACAGGACAGTCATGCCATGCTTACATTCAGTTACTGTCAGAGTAGAGCCAGGGTACTCCTGGGGTGAGGTGGCCTGTGAAAAGGCGATGTGGCAGGTACTTCTGGGACCTCCACAATCTGAACATTGCTCCATTTTAAGAGCTGGCAAGAAAGCAGGGAAGAGAATTCTGTCAACAATAATATGAGCCTGGAGAAAAGAATGTAGCAACCAATACCCACTTTGTAAGAGATGGGCATATTTGGCTACTAAGCATGTCCAATCTTTTAACATTACAAAATGATGCTGCCATATCATGATGATCACCACATCCAAGGACCACACAATCCAGTTACAAAAAAGATCATTCAAAGGTCTCATCATGTTTTGTGTAAGTTTATATTTTTGTGTTTGGGCTGCATTCATAGCTCTCATCCCGCAGGCCACAGGTTGGACACACCTGAGCTACCACAGTCATTCAAGGCCCCAAGCAGAGAACCCATCAGGTTATATGGAGACTGAGAGAACACAAGCATGGGATGAGCTCTTCTTTCAGTTAGTGCCTCTCTGCTAAACGGATGGCATTATTGCCTAGTTGTGTAGGCAAACTGGGTTTGCTTTGTGAACTGACCATCAAACTGTGTTCTGTCCAGTTTTTCCTATTGAACAGCTTGGCCTGTCAAATTTTTAAAACCTTTTTGTGAATTATAAATATAAATCCTTGGGTCAGCAAGATAGCTCAGCAGGTAAAAACACATGCTGATCATGGCCGAGGACAACCTGAGTTTGTTCCTAAGAACTCAATAAAGGGGGGAGGAGAAAACCAACTCCACAAAGTTGTTCTCTGACCTCCACACATGAGCCACGGAATACATAAACCCACACACAAGTAATAAACTGAATATATTAAACATAAATCCCAACCAAATTCCAAATCTGCTGACTTGGTTTGGGATATCTTTTGCCACAGAAACTGTTTTCAATATAATCCCAAATAGTCCTAAAAAACAACAACAACAACAAAACAGATTCTGGATTTACAGCCTTGGTTACTGTTTTTTTCCAACTCCTAAATCATACATGAAGTCTCTTTAAGGTTGTTTCACTTGGGGCTGGAGAGAGGGGTCAGTGGTTAAAAGTACTAACTGCTCTCCCAGAGGACCCAGGTTTGGTTGAGTCCCAGCACCCACATGATGGTTCAAAACCATCTGTAACTCCCATTCCAGGGGGATCTGATGCTCTCTTCTGAACTCTGCAGCCACCTGTCATAAATGTGGTACACAGACATACATGCAGGCAAAGCACTAACACACATTTAAAAAAATAGTAACTGTAACATAATAATAGCAAAACAGCAAACCTATCTGGAAGCCAGCTTTTCAGGTTTCAAGATCTCCCTTTATTCCGGATGAACAGTGAATCCCACTACACTGAACCACCAACTCTGTCAGACAGATTTGCTGCTTTTGTTACTAAAATTACTTCAAAGTATTTTTGTTTTTTGTCAACTGTTGCAAACACAGTATTTCCCCCACTTCCATCATTAAATACTAACGAGGACTATGGGGGTCCAGCCCCTCGATAGTCCCCTCCCAGGGTCCGCGGAAGGCTCTATCAACCAGCTGAGGATCTATTCTTTAGGGTCGGTAAATCAGTCTACGCACGCAGAGTTCTTTGGTCCATTCGCTTTAATTCTTCTGGCATAACATCCTTTATACACAGTTCAGTTCTGTTCTCATGTCTAGCTCCTTTCTTGCCTGATTT